TGTCCTTATATCACATAAATGGACAACACAGGAAAACATTCCCACATAAAAAAGTCCACTCTGTAATATTTAATTATTTCTACCATCTTTCCTAAGTCTATTCTGAGATATTGTGTGAATTATATCATCTTTTATAAGTCCTTTCTGAGATACTGTGTGGATTCTACCATCTTTCCTAAGTCCTTTCTGAGACACTGTGTGGATTCTACCATCTTTCCTAAGTCCTTTCTGAGATATTGTGTGGATTCTACCGTCTTTCCTAAGTCCTTTCTAAGATACTGTGTGGATTCTACTATCTTTCCTAAGTCCTTTCTAAGATACTGTGTGGATTCTACCATCTTTCCTAAGTCCTTTCTGAGATACTGTATGGATTTTACAGTCTTTCCTAAGTCCTTTCTGAGATATTGTGTGGATTCTACCAGCTTTCCTAAGTCCTTTCTGAGATATTGTGTGGATTCTACCATCTTTCCTAAGTCCTTTCTGAGATATTGTGTGGATTCAACCATCTTTCCTAAGTCCACTCTGAGATGCTGTGTGAATTCTACCATCTTTCTAAAGATCACTTTAAGACAGTGTGAATTCTACCATCTTTCTAAAGATCACTTTAAGACAGTGTGAATTCTACCCCCTTCCACAAAGCATTTTTCTTGTGTGAAAACTCTCCATTTTGCTTATTTTCACCTGAAATATATTGCATATATTTGTATACAAAATGTATCTATGTAAAATTCAGAATTCATAAGAAGGAAATTTCAACTTAAACTCTTAATCCTTCACGAAACATTATCTCCGATTCTTTTCCATCAAAAAACAAAGCATTTGGAATTCATTGAATTTTTGTAAATAATAACTTTACGATTTTTCTAATTAGGTAAAGATAAAACGAACCTGGGCTAAATAACATAAGAAGTGTGCAAAACACCTTTAATTTAAGCATTTTTAATCCATTTCTGAAGCTTAATACTGCAGTTTGGTACACAATTACTGTTAAGCCTAGTATAGCAACTTGTGGTAACAATTTTTATAGTATAAGCAAAGACATAAATATTATGTCGTATAAGGCCTAGTTTGGCCAATGAGATAGATGATAATTTTTATCCCATTTATTTTTATTTTTATTTTTTTTACAGACCCTATTACCAGGTAATAGGACACAAATTAATGAACAAGATACTAAAATACATTTTTTTTTTAATGTCCAATCTAGGAGCCTTGATTAATTTGTCCTTTTACTGTAAATAACTTGGTAGAAAAAATCTGAGGACAAAGGTGAGGTCAACTAGAAATACAAATGTCACAATCTGAAAAAAAAAAAACATAGTAACTAGTTTAACTTTAAAAAATTATCAACCAACAATTATTAACGAATGGGACAGTGCCTTACTAGTATCAAACCTATTCAATTTTAAAGATATTTCAGAGATACGAAAATATTTTCTTTCTCTTGCATGAACTTCATTTAACATTTACAACTAAGCATTTCCTTCAAGACCAATCAGAAAATTTACACTGGTAACATTGGATGGATTTTGAATTTTTTTTTTCAAAACTTGCCAGTGCAGTTTTCAGATATTTCAATTTCCAATACTTGTGACAAAACTCTAATATAAACCAGGAGTGAAATTCTGCCAGTACTCACCAGTACTGAATACCGAAACTTATTTTTTAAGGCAGTACTAATACTGAGCTGCTTTCTCTCTTTTTTTAAGTTTAAACATAGATTTTTTTTCTTTCTCAAAAACAGGTCCATTACCTTTACTTTTTTTTCAGAATTTCACACCTGAATAAAACTTAATCTATTGAAGAACTGCATTAAACAGTCTTCTTTAAGTTGTAATTTCTATTTTATTTTTAGATACATACTTGTAATAACAACATGATTTTTTTTTGTAGAAAACTGTCTGAAATACTTCATAGATTATCGTGTGTCCTGAGATAACAAGACGTACGAAGTAAAATAATTATTTACGAGTTTATTTCCAAACTTTATTAATTAAACTTATATTTAAAAAAATTAATTACTGATTCAATTGCCTACCTACTTATAAGAACATTTACTTAATATCATGCTTTTAAACTAAAACAAAGATTATATAATGTGCTATAAAGTTTGCACACATTTGCCCAAGGGAGTGAAAAAGTTAAGCAATGAAAACTTGGGCTATGCTCTGAAGCTGTGATAACACTCGGCTCCAACAGAATAACATGGTTTGAATAAAGACATTTGTTAAATCAAGGTAAATTCTCTATCCTTTTTCGTACTTAAAACAAATCTTTTTTACTTTATATGGTTTATTTAATTGCCACAAATCATCCAACAGCATAACGGTGGGAAAGTTATAGTTTTTAACTCTTTTATCAAGTACGTCTTAGAAATGTCTTCAGTCTGAATATAACTCTTCAAGGTCCAAACTGAACCATGTCTATTCTAACTCAAACAAAGATAATTATTTTTTTTTAATATGAGAAACATTAATTCTTCTCATGCAAGTGTTGAAAAAGCTCAAAGACTAAAACTGTATTACAACACATTATCTTTAACTTGTCCTTACAACTACAAAATGTGAATGCTTTAAGGCTTAGAAGTGGTTTTTTTTTTGCTTTCTAGACGTGCTAGTTCTGTTGCTTTCTAGACGTGCTAGTTCTGTTGCTTTCTAGTCATCATAGGTCTTTTGTCTCTAGTCATGTTAGTTCTCATCTATAAACAGGACTAGAAAAGCTAAAGAAACTAGAGATCAAAAGTCAAATAATTAAAAATAAACAGAAATCTCAGAAGTTATGTATAATTACAAAATTCAATAAACATTCTATGAATATGTACTTCACAAATAACCACTGTGAAATTGATGACTGTTTCGACCAGCGACCCAATAACCAACCACAGAAAAAAAAAAAAAGACTTGATACAATTATCTTGATCAGTTGAAGTAGTATATTCATATTTCATACCAAAAAAAAAAATTATGGTGTTTTATAATAATGAGTTAGAAGCAATCAAAACTAAACATTCTTAGAAACATAGCAATGAGTATTGTGGAATGATAAAATTCAAAATTAAGCCTACTCACATGAAAATCACAGTTTACTATCAGCTTCTCATTACATGTATTCCTAATTATGTTTCCTGAACATGCATGAGGCTATAATTTATATTTATTCTTCAATTATTAATAACTAAGTAAATCAGCCACATTTCGTTTTTGTTTTTTGATGAATATCGATAAGTTTACAAGGTACTTTACTGGGAAGAAGATGATATTTTTGGCAAGCATTATTTACAAGTTGTAGATAGCAGATGTTAAGGCACCTGCTTTTATCTAACACCAGCACTTTCTGCTTAAAAGAAAGGATACAATAAGGCTAGAATGTCTATAATTTACAGTCTCAGGTTGGAAGTGCTTTGCAGACAGAGGCGTAGCCAAGGCTGAGAACGGTCTGGACACATGCTTGGCTAATGGCCAACCTAAAATTGATAAATTCTCTCCTGATTAAGGATCTCAAGCACAAAAACTAGTCTGTTGCAGTAGAGGTGATTCAAAGTGTGAAAACAAATAACCAACAAGCTGACAGACTCATGCGTTATTACACAGTTAAGTGCATAATTGAATTTGTAAGATTAAATGCTCCTCGTGCTAAGAATGTATAACCTGGTTAGCTGTTTATAAAATACTGTTATATTTATGTAATAACACACAAACAAATGCTAGAACATTACACATTTCGTTGGCCACAGACACAGGCAAGTTCTGAATAGATACATACAATGGAGACCAGACCATAGTGCTATATGCAAGGCGAGCGTGCCCTGGTGTTATCTGCTGGGCAACTTTAAAAGCTTGTCTACGCCACTGTTTATTTTTTATATATATATAAAAATACCAAATTTTTTTGCCATAACGTACTTGAGAGAGTTACACGGCCGTAAAGCCAGACAAAAAAAGTTGCTTTCCAACC